ATACCATTCATATGTGGAATCTAAAAAAAGAAAAAAGACTCTAATGAGCTCATTTATAAAACAGAAACAGACTCATAGACATAGTAAACAATCTTATAGTTACCAAGGGGGAAAAGGTGTAGGAAGGGAAAAATTGAGACTTTCAGATTTGTAAATATTAACTATTATATATAAAAATAGATAAAAGAACAAGTTTCTTCTGTATAGCACAAGGAACTATATTCAGTATCTTGTAGTAACCTATAATGAAAAAGAATATGAAAACGAATATATGTATTTCTGTGTATGAGTGAAACATTATGCTGTACATCAGAAATTGACATATTGTTACTGAGTATTCTTCAATTTAAAAATTGGCGAAACCAAAAAAAACAAAAACAAAAACAGATATCCAGAGTCTGGCACTTTTAATCACTTCCACTGCTCCTGTATACTAACTACCAATATTTCTTGCCTGGACAGTTGCAGTAGGTTCCTAAGTGGTCTAGCTACTTCTTTCATTATCCCCCTGAGTCTGTTCTTCACATAGTAGATAAAATGATTAATTATATTACTGCTATGCTCAGTGGTTTCTTATTAGGAAGAAAATTCGAAACTTATCGTGGCCTTTAAGACCCTACAGAATCTTCCTTTCCTGTCTCTTTAATGTAATGTCTTTCTACTCTACTTCTGGTCCATCTGCTCCAGCCACATTGGCTTTGCCATTTCTTGAACACAAAGGTATTCTACCTCCGTGCCTTTGTGCTTGCTCTTTTTTTTCTGTAATGTTCTTTTCTTAGAAAGCTAATATTTTCTTTTTTGGGGGAGATCTTTTCTGAAAAAAACACTTCCTCTCCCATGACTACATATCATACTTTTTTTTTTCTTAGATGTATTGCTGTCTGACATGTTGTCTGTTTATTTCTTTTTAACGTTGGTTTGTCTCACTCCACTAGAATAATAGCCTATCAGAGCAGGGGCTTTGTTTTGTTAACTGTGTGCCAAGTACTGCTTTAGGTTCAGTGAATACATTGCTAAAGGAGTGGACTGCTATATGGTGTTATATTAAATGGGATTTCTATACTTGAGTAGCAAGAAATTACAGATCTTGATTAGTTGATTCACTAAAGAAATAAAATTGGCTTGTCTATAAATATATACTTTTTTGACTGAAACTAAAAGATATGTTAGAAATAGAAAATAAGAAATGCATTTTTATATGGTGAATTAATAGTATAGTATTTAATTATTTGTTAATTTGAGATCTTTTATCATCCCCATTTTACATAAGATGAAATTGAGGCTTGAAGAGTTGGTAAATAATACGGCCTGGATTTCAATTTGCATGATCTTGACCAAGAAGAATTTTCATTATGAACAATATGTGTTTTTTAATTTAAAATTTTAATTAATATTGAGTAGGTACAAAAGAATATTTATAAAGTATATGCAACGTGTAACAAATTGGTATAACAAAAACTTGTATTCCATCATTTAGATTAAGAAAAAATTGCCACTTACAAAAATACTCTATTATAAAGTAAAAACCACGAAAGCCAAATATATGGCCTAATGAAAAATTTTTTTAGGTATATCCTTGAAACAATGACCCAAGTCAGGAAATAAAGCTTTGCCATCCATCCCAGAATTTCCTCTTCTGTGTCACATTCCAGTCACAACCCCTTTCACACCATAAATAACCATTATGATAACACACCATTATTCTGACTTTTATGGCAATCAGTTCTTTGCATATTTTTATAATTTTATCATCCAGATGTCATCCCTAGACACTGTAATTTAGTTGTACCTATTAACAATTTTAATATCTCTTAAGTCTCTTTCATTTTATAGAGTCCTCCTCCATTCACTTTTTCCCTTATAGTTTATCTTTCTAAGAACCAGAGCTATTTGACATGTAGACTTTCCCATAGTTGTGAGTTTGCTGATTGCTTACTCATAGTGCAGATCATTATATTCGTCTATTCTCTATGTTTTCTGACAATTAGCAGATTGATCCAGATTCCAAATCAGATTCAGGTTAGATCCCTTTAGCAAGACCAGAAGAGTCTCCAGATATCTGATTAGCTTTCTTTTTGTTAACATTTAGCACTCTTTTTATACTTAATGACTATTGTCTAGTAAGTAGTTGAGAATTACAAAATGGCAATAGGCAAATTCTATCTTCTTATGTATTAGTTGGGATAATATAAATAAATACTTCCCACTAATTATTATTTGGTTACCCAGTTGTATAGTTTATAAAGGAAAGGCAGGATAAATATTTGATTCTTTCTCTTTATTTACCAGTTTTCAAGATAATGAATTGGTCCTCTGCTATTCTTCAAAGATGACCAGTTTTTTTGTTTCGTTTTGTTTTTTGTTTTTAGTGAAGTATGAACTCATGGATTTAAGCGTATTTTATGGGTTTCAATAAATTGCAGTTTTCTCACTATTGAAGGTCACATCGTTCCATCATTGGCCACTGGGAATTTCTTCACTTTGGCTCTTGAGACTTTGATTAGCTTCCTTGCTACTTAATGTAAGATTCATCTTGTACTTTCTTCTTGAATTACTCATTTCTCTAAAAAGTGCTGGTTCCTTTTAGTGAGAAATGGTATTTCGAGACCACAGTCTGAGCATTAGACATGTTCATGATTACTGGATTACTTATTGTTTCTAGGCCTTCTCAGTGGACAGAGCTATGAAAAATAAGGATAAAATAATTCATGAGCTCATTTGATGTTTCTAATTCAAATTCAAGATCATAGAACTTTTATTTAACCTTTCTGTTACATGTGTATCTTTTTCTTCTGCACTAAGAAGCTTGGTTCTTAGGGGCACTAGACATGATAGAATTAGGATATTCCAACATTGCTCATTTATTCTGTATTATTCATGCAATACACAGTTGCTTTGGAGTAACAGTATGAATGCCATCACTGACATGATTACTAAACATATTAATTTTTTTACATATACACTTCTCATTCTCCTCCTGTTTTTTACATGTAAGTACTATACTCCATTGTCATAGTAATAGCTGCTGTGTGCTATACTCTTCCCTTATTAATCCTCATTCAGTCTTCTATAGCCAACTCTGTATTTAATGCTTGTCACCAGTTCTTATGTCTGTGTCTCTAGTAATTTCGGTTGTCTGAAGCTTTTTCTCTAGTAGATTCATCTAGAATAGTAGTCCCTGAATTCTCATGTGTTAATAAGTTTGTCTGTGTCTTTTATACTTGAAAGTCAGTTTTATTTGATATAAAATCATAGGATACAACTTTCTGTCTTTGAGTATTTTAAATATATTACTCAGTTTTCTTGTCTCATAAAGCATTGCTGTGGAAAACTCTGATGATCATTTAATTTTCTTCCGCATAGTCTTTTTTAGATGCCCCCAAGTTTTTTTTTTCCATTAAAGCCTAATAATTTAAATATAATATGTCTAGGTGTTGGTCATTCAGAGTCAGTATTCTTGGTACGTGGTCTATTCTTTTTATTAGCTACACATTGTTTGTTTTTGTTATTGTTTTTAATTGAGAAAGGTATTTTGGTAATTGTACTCTTTTCTTGCTTTGGTTTTCTTCGGGAACTCCTATTGGCTCTTTTTTTGCCTTTCTTCAGTGAACCATTTTATCTGTCTTTTTAAAAAATTTAAAATGTTTTCCTTTTTACCTTGTGTTTCTTTAAAGGCACTGTTAGTTCATTTCTCTTTGTTTTCCTTCTAGTTTAATCTTCATTACTGAAGTAATTTGTTTCTTTTTCTTTTTTC